TTGATATACAATAAAGAAGAGATAGACAGAGAAAGAGAGAGAGAGAGACAGAATTATTGGCTGATTGTGAGTTACTTCTTTCGATTAAAAATAAAAAAAAATAAAAAATACAATTAACAATTAAAATAAAATATACAATTTATATTTACAATTTATATTTATAAAAAATATACAATTTAATTGATCTATGTCTAAATAATTATTTAATTATATTTTATACATGATTATTTTATTGATTACTCAGTATATAATTATGAATAAATATTTTTATGGTGTTGTTTACATAAAATATAGATTTTTTGTAAACTTTGTATTTTATCTTTTAGAAATTATTGATTGTACGATTTAATTGTTTTTGTTTTTTGAAATTATTTGGGATTTTTTTTTTTTTTTTTTTTTTTTAAGAATTGATAAGTATTTTATAATATACATTTTAATAATAAATAAATATATTTATTAAATTTATATTATAATTATTATTATATTTAAATAAGAGAGAAAGCAAATTTTGTTTTTTGTAAATGAATCATTTTGATTGTTTTAAACAAATTTGCTAAATTTAATATAATAATTCATTCGCGAAATCAATTATTGTTTAATTTATATAATTATTTAATAATTTCAATATTACTTCAATCTAAAATAATAAATTTTATTTTATAAAAGAAATGAACAACTTACTCTCAAATGTATTCTACTTATTATACCTAACCTAACAAAACTATCTCTCTTCAAATAATAATACAAATCACTTACAACAATTTTATTAATTGTAAATGATAAAATATTAATTAAAGAATATTAACAATCTTAAATAATCTCCTTTGAACAATATAATTAATTATATTTTATTGCAATGAAATTTTTCATTAAATCTTACAATGTTCGAACTTAGTATTGCAAACCACAAGATGAAGTCAATACCAAGGTTAGTATAGTTTGTACTGGATCGAGTATTCGATGGAAGAAGGACAGAATAAGAAACAGAGAGAAAGAGAAAGAGAATGGATGAGAATGGTTGAGAAAAGGAGAGAAAGGGAGGGAAGACCCACGCAAAGTTTATCGAGCTATCCGTTAGCAGAGTGTCAACATTTCTAGAACGTCACGTAGTGTGTTCAGGATGGTTTCCTGTTTCTCGGTTTCGTGTCTCAACTCACGTTTCACGCGACTATTTCCTGAAAGGAAAGAAAAAAAATAAAACACTAAAAGAAAGAAATAACGAAAGTATTACTATATTATTACTATTTCTACGAAGATGTTGAAGGAAAATGTGTGCCCTTTTCATAAAATTCTTTCGTATAGTCCCTTTATGACCACCAACCTAGGATATTTCCTATTCAACTTCCCACACTACTGGGTGTCCTTAAAACATTACTAATCAACTATATAAATGCTAATAGTTTCAACAGTTTCAAAAGTAAAATCAAATTTATATACCAACGATTAGTATTATGAAATAACTAACAAATGTGATTAAAATTTGAATTTGGATTGTCCTAATTGTTTATGCAAAATAGTAGGAAAAGATATTTTTAATGATTTTTTCCATACCGTATAATAATATAAAAAACCCAAAAGTTTATTTTAAATAAAAACCACACAATTGCCCAAACATTATTTGACAACTTATTAAAATATTTCGAATATAAAATTATATATTAACAATATTTTTTAATGCAAAAATAAAAACAATTTTTTTTTATATTTTCATTATTATATCTATTTTCTAATAATAATAAAAACAACAAGAAAAACAACATTAATAATCAAAATCGTTTAAAAATTCTACTTCAACTTCAACTAGTACCACCATTTACTTTGATAGATTACTATTGGGGTACCCTGTATATGCAATTACACATAACCTTATGCATTTTTTCTTCTTATATCTATTTCCAACCATCATCCCTCATCCCCTATTCACATTCCCCATTTCCTATCCCTTCTCTTTCCCTCTTTTCCCCCATAACCCAGCCCACAACTAACCCCGTTCTTACTGTTTCCGTAGAAAAGACATTTACACGCGATATAGGAAATAAAAGTTCGTTGAATTCTAGCTTGCAACTTTCTACAGTTTTTACTTTTTTGCGATGTATACTTTCGTGCTCAAAAATAGAAGTGTCTGGTTTGACGTGACGTATAATATACCATAACCTAGAACCAGTTTTGCGGTGTATATATCCATAATTTGGAGGAAAATTTAGAACGCGTTGAAACGACGACGTAACACGACGACTATTACGATCTAAACGATGTTGTAGTAATAGTAATAGTAATACTAGTAGTAGTAGTAGTAGTAGTAGACGGAAAAGGGACACGTTACGGTACTAATATTTCAAAACTAGGGGGTTGGTACTTCTGTGAGTCGCCAACACTTCGGTAATGGTACATGTAACGTTTTGCTATGACATAGAAAATGTTCCTCTGCCAACTTATCTTCAAGAATCAAATATACACATATATATATATACACACATGTATATATGTAAATGTATATGTACATGTATAAATGTATAACTAAAAGGATATGTGTGCCAAGTTCGATGAATAAAATAACTGTCCTTGTATTATGAGAAAGTAATAAGAATATTAGATTAAAATGATGTTGAAGACTATTTTCTTATTTTTGGAAAAGATGAAAGAAATGGTTGCTCAATAATATGATAATATTTAAACGTTTTTAGAATGAAAATGTTGACAGTAATAGGTTCAATAAATCAACTAGTTATTGTACTCAATATTATTTAATATTGTTTAGTATATGCAAGATTAATAATATAATAAGGGAGTATGATGAAGATCATTTTTTGAGTGATCATTTTAAACCTAACCTCGTTGAT